CTCCCCAGGTCTGGGAGGGGAGTGGGGGGCTGGTGGTTAGAGCAGGGGGAGACTGGGAGCCAGGACTCCTGGGTTCTCTCCCCAGGTCTGGGAGGGGAGTGGGGGGCTGGTGGTTAGAGCAGGGGGAGACTGGGAGCCAGGACTCCTGGGTTCTCTCCCCAGGTCTGGGAGGGGAGTGGGGGGCTGGTGGTTAGAGCAGGGGGAGACTGGGAGCCAGGACTCCTGGGTTCTATCCCTGGTTCTGGGAGGCAAGTGGGGTCTTCTGGTTAAAATATAGGAGGGAGCCAGGACTCCTGGGTTCTATCCAGGAGATGCCATTTCCTTTCTGGGACTCGCAGGCTGGGTCCCCCGTCCATCCTCCTGGAGCTGGACGCATGCTCCAAACCTCAGTTTCCCCAGAGAGAGGGGCTGCAGGGATGGATAAAAAAGGGGTGACGCTGCAGGGACAGCAGCTCTGGTGCCTGCACAGAAGCAGCCATTGCTGGGGAGGAGCAGAGGGGACCCTGGGCCCCCACAGCCCCCTGTCCCGGCAGGTGGGAGCATTCCTGGCCGTTCTCCAGTCAACGCAAACAGGCTCTTATCTCGCCCAGCCACTGCCAGGCACCGCGCGCCCCGGCCCAGGTAATCGGAGTCTGGAGGCCGAGCGCCTAGTGCCGTGTTTACAGGACACCCTGTGCCACTGCTGAGATTGGCACGCTGGGTGGAAACAGCATCAGGGGAGATCGGGGCCCCGTCGCGCCAGGTGCTGCACGGACCCACGCAAGGCCCCCCGAGGCAAAGCCCCGGAGCACAGGGCAAAGGGGCGAGACGAGGGATCAAAGCAGGGCCAGGGATCGGGGCCGCAGGCAGCCAGGGAGAGCGAGCAAAGAGCAGCTGGGGTCCCCAGGATCCCGCCACACCGCCGCTAATCCACTGCCGGGGCGCGACCCCCAGCCGCATGCCGGACCCCCAGGGGTGACGCTGTGCCGGGGGGGCCACGACTCCAGGACTGAGCCGCCGGGCCCCAGCACCTCTCCGGGAGCTCCCACGGCGAGGCCAAGCCAGGTCCAACTTCACCGTCAGTGCCAGAATTCGGGAACACCACAGGGCGGTGCTGGTCCAGAACCAGACGGGGGCCTGGCTGTTAGGGGAAAGCTCGGGGCGGCCGTTCCAGCGCCGGGGCGGGGATGCCAGCCATGGGGCAAGGCCGGGGCTGGACCCACCTGCGCCCTGTCCGGGTTAAGGCCGGGAGCTCTTCTGCGCCCCCCGGGGGGTTACACCAGCAGAGATCGGGCTGCTCTGGAGGGAAGGGGCCAGGCCCAGTTGTTGGATCGGTTCTGGGGAGCTGCCACCAGTAAAACTCCAGATGCAACATAGTCCCCGGGCCGGAGACAACAGAGCCAGGGCAGCCTTCAGCCTGGGGGTGTGGGTGGGTGGCCCCTGTCCCGGGGCCAGGTGGGTGACAGCCCCCCCTAGAGGGGACAGGCCCCAGCTCCATTGCCCACCCCCCTAAGCCAGCCAGTCCCTGCCCTGGGGCCGATGGGAGCCGGCGCCCCCCAGAGGGGACAGGCCCCTGCCCCATTCCCCACCCCCCTAAGCCAGCCAGTCCCTGCCCTGGGGCCGATGGGAGCCGGCACCCCCTAGACTGGCCAGGCCCTGCGCCCCATTCCCCACCCCCCCGAGCCAGCCAGTCCCCGCCCTGGGGCTGGATGGGAGCTGACACCCCCTAGAGGGGACAGGCCCCATTCCCCGCCCCCTAAGCCGGCCAGTCCCCGCCCTGGGGCCAATGGGAGCTGGTGCTCCCTAGAGGGGACAGGCCCCATTCCCCGTCCCTTGTTGGCTGTGTGCATGTTCTCTCCAGGCACTGCACCGGCTCTGCACAGACCAGCGGCTCCGTTCAGCAGGGAAGGGGCCTGGCCAGCACACCCCATAACAGGGACACTCAGACACGCAAGCCCCATGAGAACGGACCAGCTCAGTGACTTTCCGTCCCCCTCACCCCCACGGCCAGCCAGATGCCCCCTCGGCGACCCCTCTTTTATGCACCGATACAAACAAGTTACGTACTGCTGGGGTTAGTCACCACCCTGTGCCTTGTACCTGGCAGGTCGATCCAAACATCTCATCCGCCCCCCGTCCCCCGGAGCTTATCTTTCCGAGGGCGCAGGGGGCGTTCACACTGTAGCTCGGTAGCGGGAGGGTCCTGGCACGATCCCTCTGGGGCGTGTTTACACGAGCAGCCGGTGCCTGGCCCCTCGGAGGAGCGTTTGTGGTTTGCAGCCCCCGGTCTCGCCAAGATCACGTCCCGCCAGCGAACGCGCGGGCCGGGCCTGACTGCGGCCCATAGGCCCTACGCCAGCCCTTCCCGACCAGGCCTCATATCGCAGGGTCCCTCTGCTAACCCCTCGGCTCCCCACCCACAGCCCCCGGTGCAGCTAATCAGAGGCCGAAGAGCTGGTGCTGCAGCCGGGGACACCCTGGGAATGCAGAGACAGGCTGGTCGAGATGTTAAACAGAGCCGGGCCGAGACGCGCCCCGCTGGAAACCTGCCCGTGGACGCCGAGGCCCGGCCGCAGCGGTGTTTGGAGGCCGAGCCGTCGGCCACTTTGGAATAAACTCAACGGTCGCCGGGTTCGTTCTCAGTCACTCGGGTTTTTTAATCACCCTCAGCTGGAGGGACCGGCGAGCCCCCGGGTCACAGCTGGCATCAAACGCATGGGGACGGAGTCTGAGGGGGCTGGCGAAGCGGGCGACCAGGCCAGCCCCGCGGGCTACCAAGGGGCTTTTCCTTTGCCAGTCACAGGCTTGTCTTCGGGACAGACGAGGGGCCGGGATCAAGCCCGGCCCGACGCTCCAAGCATCCCACGGGAAACCAGCGGCCGAGCGCGGCCATGGAGGGGGGGGGGAAGGGACAGTCCCAAGCCGAGACGCTGAGGTCAATCGAGGCAACAACTGGTCTTCAGAGCCTGCCACCGGGGCTAAGGAACCAGCAGCTACTGGGGGGCAAACACCCGTCGCCCCAGAACCAAGGGGCAGACGGGGGACAGTGAGGGGTAGGTGAAGTGGGCTGGGGGTGATCGGATGGGGCACCCAACCTGCAGCCGCCCCAGGGTTTAAATTAATCTGGGCTCCCCCCAGCTCTCCCCCTGCCCCGGGTTGAGTCCTGCTGACCGGTTCGGATCCACCTCCCCCACCCCCCGCTCCCAAGCTGGTATCCCCAGGCCAGGAGCCCTGGCCAGCTCCCCAAAACCCCAACTCGCCCCAGGCTGGGGCATCCGTGCCACGCTGGATGGGAACTGACAGGCTCCCAGGCTCCCCGGCTCCAACCACTAGCCCCCACTCCCCTCCCAGAGCCGGGGAGAGAACCCAGGAGTCCTGGCTCCCAGCCCCCCTGCTCTAACCACCAGCCCCCACTCCCCTCCCAGAGCCAGGAGCACAGGACAGCTACCCACCTTTTCAGCTAATGGGGGGGAGGTCTGGGAGGTGGTGGGGGAGGGGCATCTCTGCAGTGACCCCCCCACCCATGTGTCTGTGGCAGCCGGGATCTGCAGGCTGAGTCACCAGGAGTGCTGGGGGGGGGGGGCTTGGCTGGCAGCTGGCTCTGGGGAGATGGGGA